CTGACTGAATTTTATTGCATCCGAAATTTTCACTGGCAGGTCTTAGGCATCATTCAATCTTGTTTACATGGCTGGAAAACTCATCAGCCCACTTAATCCTTCCTTTTTCAGAGACACAGATATATCACAAATGTTTCAAGTATTTTTGTTTTTAATTGCATGGCTTGCTGAATCAAAGCAACTGAATTTTATACATGTTCAATGCAATTTCTTTCGGTAAATGAATTCATCTTTCTTGGTTTTTGATACTGAACATGCAATCCTGGTCTCATCTGAACTCAACCAATGTATTTCTGTCACCTAAGATAATTGGATTTCAACAAGAGATCAACACTTGTAAACGACAGTGTTAATGGGAAGAGGAACATACATAGACCCCCATCTTCCTTTTTTTTTATAAATTTTTTTATTATTTTGTGTGTGTGTACCGTCAAATCAGATCTGACTGGTACAGGAAGAGATTGTCCCTCCTTCTCCAGCAGAGCATCTGGTGGATTTGAACCACTCACTTCTGGGATTGCAGTGCAACTTACATACCCTATCTTTTAATGGAAGCTCAGCGTAACATCTTTTCTGTCCATGACTATAGATAGTTCAAAAGGAATCAGTTCCTTTCATCAGTGTGAAACTGCTTCTTTCTCTTCCCAAGGAAGCTGAGTTCTAAATGGAAGTTACTGAACCCTCCACAAGGTTACTCTAGACCCCTTCCCAATTAACTGTGCACCCTTACAGAATGATATTGATGTTTTTGGAATGTGAACAGTCTGGCTGCTGAGCTGAGAATGGTCTTCATTCTCACAGCAGATATGGCATCTCATTCCTTCGTTATTCCAGCTGTGACCGCAAGAGAAGCTTAGTGTCTCAACACATGCCAGTTTTTCAGTCACTGTTTGAGCAACAGTTGTCCTATTTGTTTAATTCTTCAAACAAGATAGGACTTTTACACATTTTGTATTGCTGCGCCCTGTTACATGTCTTTTTCTACATCTTCTGTCTGACAAATACTGTGTAATACACCATTTCCCATGTGACTACGTCTTTGAATGTTTATACTTTCATTATCTGCATACAGGATTTTAATTAAGTTCCCAGCCAAATGTAACCTCTTTAAGTCAGAAGCTGTATCTTCCAATTCATTTTAGAAGCTCCCACAAACTCCCAGTAAGGTGCCTGCCTCCAAACAGCCACTTAGAAAATGTCTGCTGAAAAAATCCATCCCAAAATAGAATTTAATTTTACTATAATTACTATGTTTAGCAATATAACTTTCTTTCCAACAAGACTTTATGAAGGGGCAGCACTCATCTACATGTACCATATAAATTCTATATTTATTTCACAACTACTTTCTCATATCTTTGAGATATTTTCCATTTTATAGTTGGTAGATATGAAAACTAGGAAACACAAAAGTTGGTGATAGAATATAATTTGTCAGCCATTTGATTATTTTTTTAATGTCTAAAAAAACAAAGAGCACATATCTCAAATGTAAACAGTGTGAATTTTTACCACTCAGAACATTATTTGAGTTTTAAAGGTATTCCTACCCTGAAATATCATTCAAATATCTTCCCTCTTTTATCCCCCTACCTTCACCCCATTATCCCATTTGCCTCAATCGCTTCCCAGTCAGTCTCCCTCTTCTGGCTCGTAGCAAGCACTTAAATATTTGAATGACTGTAACACTGTTGAAAGGTGGAGACCTAGCTTGGAAGAAAAGGATGGCATCTTAGATTAATGCACAAACTGCTTTGGGTAAAATATACAACTTTGTCAGGAGTTAAAGGATAGCTACTAGGACATCCGAAGTTAAGATTTTATTTTCTTTTTTCCTATCTCCTAAAATGTATAGTAATTTTAAGAGGAGTCGGTTGAAGGCACATAAAATTTGAGCCTCAAAGTGGTCTCCACTCTTGCCCTCTTCAATTCGGCTTTTCACCTCTTCTCCCTCCTCCACTGCCTGACAGGCCTGGTTTCCACCAATCGGTACTGCCGGGCACTGACACCCTCCCTGCCGCGGTCCAGTCAGCGGGGAGCCATCCATCACTGTCTGGACGGAAGCCAATCCCAGGAGCCCAAGCCTTCCTGCCAGCCAATGGCTGGAAAGTAGGGGGCGCGCGGAGCCCAAGAGGCCGCGGACTCAAGGTAGTATAAAGGGGTGGGGGGGTCGGCGGGCCAAACCGCGCAGCCACTGTTCCCCAACAGGGTCTGGTTGTGACCTGCTTTCCCTTTTGCACCATACCTTGGGGTTAGTGTTTCTGTGCACACCTTAAAGCCGAACCCAGCTCTTGGGATCTGGGTTTCTGATATACCCAGATGCTAACTTAGCGGGAGGGAAGGGGTCTTGAATCCCTTTTCCTGTACACACTCGGGACCCTCAGTCAGGGTCGCCCACGAGGGGAATGAAGGAGGAGGCCTCCTGAAGACCCGGCGGGGCCCAGGGGATGAGAGGAGACGGGAAAGCAGGTCCCCGCGGCTGCGGTCGCCCGGAACCGTCGACTGCCCTTCCCGAAACCTGGGCTCCGCTGATGGCGCCCCTCCCGCCCAGCCCTCCCCGCCCGCCGGCTCCGGCGCGAGCCGGCCGCTAATGAGCCGTCTGGGGAGAGCGGGTGCCAGCCGGGAGAGCTCTGGGCCGACGGCCAGGCCCGCCGCCCTGGCGGCTCCGTCGGGCTGCGGGCGCCGAGAAGGGGCCGGAGGGCAGCGACTGGCGGGCCCTCCTGCCACAGCGGGGTCTCGGCAGCAGCCCCCTGAAGCCCGACTGGCCAAGCGGGCGCCTCAGCAAGGATCAGCGCCCCCTCCTCGGGGCTCTGGATTAGCCCTCTTCCCGTCTCATAGGGGCTCTTCCCTTGCAGCCCTCACTCTCGCGGTCCGTTAGCCACAGAGGACGAGGAAACTTTGGTCGCCTGTCACTACCACGTGTCTTTCATCTACTCCTCTTAATCAAGTTACTGTCGTGTGAACGAGGGGATTGGACGGGAATGTCCGAGGGGTTTTGCAAAGTCACCTCTCTCCCAGCAGCTCCCTCACCCGAGCTGAGCTCCACTAGGAAAACTGCCACAAACCCTTTAAACTTTCAGAGCCTCGATGTTCCCTTCCGTAAAATGGGGATAGCATGGCGTCTCTCACGGGATTCCACAGACTTAACGTGTGAAGCACCACGTTTCTGCTGGCCCATCACCTCTCATTCCACTCCCAGCACAATTGGAATTACTGGGCCGAGGCAGACGAGATTCAGTTGCTAGGAAACAGTGTTGCCCCTCCTGGCTTTGCGGTTGGTTAAGGGCGGCGACTGGAGCCGGGCACCGGGTGTGGTGGCATAGTTGGCAAAGTATTTCTGGAGAATTTCTCATTTCCCGTCGCCACGCTGGTCCCTGAGCTCTATAGTATTTAATTGCATACCCTTCCCGCCCGTTCCCCTTCAGAGTTGCTTTTTGGCACTGTTTACTGGAATGAGTTGTACACACAATGCTTACAGTGTGTAGGTTTACGTAACTGTATAATTTTTCTCTAATTACCGTAGTGGTCATGCCCTATATAAATATTCAATCCTTATGGTTTTATAATGTATGACGTGATAACCCTCAGGGATGGCTTCCATTAACACCCGGAGTTCGACGCTTTCTTATTCGTAGAGGAAAATCGTGTACCCGAGCTGGCGCGGGACTCGCAGGGCTGTCACGCAGGCTGGTTGCTAGGGCAACTCCCAGTCCGAGGCTTAGGAGACCAGCGAGGAATACAGAAGAGCAGTGGTCGGTCGCGTCCTGGGGGCGGAGTTAACCACAGACTGGAGACCTGAGGAGCGCGCGTTTCCCGCTATTCCCTCCAGGTGGCGCTACAGGATCGCGGATGTTGCCCAGGGGCGGGGCTGCCCGCCCGGCGCGACGCTCGCAAGGGGCGGGGCCGGGGCAGGACGTGAACTGACTAGCGCCTTCCGCTAGGGTAGGGTTGGAGGAAATAAATGTGCGAAAACTAAACGTTAGACTAAAATTTAGCTAGGCGACTGACGTACATAAATCGAGAAAGTGCACAAGTCAGAACAAGTATGACTCTAACGGGGGGAGGGAGCAGAGGACTCCCCACAGAAATACATCCCACTCATTCTGTCTTGTCCCTTAAACCCCCTTCAGTATGTCCCTCCTTCAGACCTGAAATCCTTAAAGGAGTGAGTATACAGCAGGTGAGGGCATGGTGGAGGCTAAGCAGTGCTCTCCCACATCCCCACCCCCTCATCCAGGCCTAGCAAAGGGAAGCTGGCAGGGCTCAAGTGCCCGGGGTACGTGCCAATATAGCAATTCCGCGGTGCCAGACACTCCAAGAAAAACAGTCATGCTATTTCCTAGTTTGTCCAGGAGAAGGCTTAATCCTTTCCCCTCCAGAGGCTGGAAGTGGAAAAAGTGGCTCAAGCAATTCCCTGCAGAGCCACCACATGTGCACTGCAACAAAGTCAAGGCCCAACTATTGCTATACCTTTCCAGAAAGTATGCACCACTCTTGCTGTCATTATTATTTTTCTGTGACATACAATCATGCACAGTCTGCTCCACACTAGGGGGGCCGCATGATAGCATGTTACACCTTTCACTGTATTAAATAGTCCCTTCTCTTTGACCCACCCACCTCCACAACCACAGAGAGAAAATCTTGGTGCAGAGCATCTGTGGAGACAAGCAGAGACATGTATGAACCTTGGATCTGGGACACACACACAAGGTGAGACATAAAGCAGGTTTATTAAGGCGCTAGGGCCAGGGAATGCCTAAGGTCTGAGTTAATGTGGCTCGGCTGGTTCCTGTGTGCCATTGGTGCAGGTCAGGGCTGGGAGAAAGGGGTGATTCAACGCTGGAGGTCAAACTTTTTAATTTCTGAGTCGCTGGCAGAGATCTCAGGCTCTGGCTGGGTCTGGGGACACAGGAGTTTCTTCTCTCCTCTGGGAGTCCTGGGCTTGTTTCCAGGATTAGGGAAATCATCTGGGGGTGGGAGTCTTAAATCCACAGCCTTCATTTCAGTAATGACCATTTAATTTGTTCCTTGGCCGACTGAAGAACCTGAAGGGTGGGGAAAAGGATGAGAGGAAGACTTGGGAGGGATGTCAAAGTGCCTTTCTTCCAGAACACAGAAACCAAAAAGAGGCTACCACCTCTTTCCTGAATGTCCCTGCCACTTCTGGTCATTAGGTGGCAGCAGTCCACCTCTTCCTGGCTTAGATGGGAACCTGGCAAACTGTGTGCAGCCAGCTCCCACCCCAGGTCCCAGCTTGCCTGCCTTCCAGTTCCTGCATCTGCACTCACTTCTCTCACACCAGGCCATTCCAGTCCTTACCTACACCCACAGTGTCACATCCAGGCTGGAGATAGACCTGGCCAGGCCCTCCCTGTGCTCAGAAACCTCAGCAAATCTCTTTGCTCAGGCCTTAGCCAACACCCCACCTCCACCTACTGCTGATGTGGCACAGCTGGCAAAGGGTGACTACCCAGACCCTGCCACGGGGCACCTGCACCCACATACAAGCACTTTCTCCTCCTGCTGAGGACTCTCAGTCCAGGGTCTGCATACATCCCTAGCCCTGCACACACACAGTGCCAACAGAGTGCAGGCCCCTGGTGTGTGCACCTCAGTCCTGAAGACCTTCCTTTTGGCCATGAAGCCTCCTCCTCTTCTAACGAAGGTCTGTCCCACCCTGTGTACTGTCTCCTCCTGCTGCACAGCCTGCCTCTTCTTGGAGACAGTGTGGTCCTGAGATCCTCCCAAACCTAACTGCAATCCAACTTTATCCTCCTTCATCCTTCATTTGCTTCCTACAGCTTCTTGGCTTTTATTCAATAATTGTACCCATAAGAGCACTATGTTTTCATTCTGTCGTCTTTGGAAGATTCATGATGGTTAACATGTTCTAAGCTTGTATTATTTGCTGTGCTACGTGCCTTCTACTCATTGCCATCCAGTCAGAACCAGCTCCTAGCTCACCCTCCCCTGGATTTCTGAGGCTGTAAATCACATGGGAGGAGGTCGCCCATCTTTCTTCCTCAGAGAAACTGGTGGATAGCATCTAATTATCATAATAAATCTCTGAGCAGGGTCCCGTTAAACCCAGAGAGGCTGAACAACTTGTTCTAGATCAGACAGCTCATAGGTGGTAATGTACAACATCTATCCTAGATTGGCTTAGACCAGAGCTTGTATCCTTATCTGCACGACTACTCCTCAGCTCCTTAATTGCTCACCACCCTGGGAAATCGCCATGTGGTGGCTTCCATTCCAGCGGGTCTGAAGAAGCAGGAGGAGGGAGAGGCAGAGTGAGCAAGAAGGTAGACACCATATTTGGGGCTCTGTGTGAGATGGCACAGACTCAACTCAGCCTGGGTCACACAGTGGAGGTAGTTAGTGCCAGAGCAGGAAGTTCCATAAAAGCAGGATTAGTCGGGGAGGAAAGACCTGCAGACAGACAGAATGGCGGTCAAGACAGTTGTCAGCCAGATGAGCTGGGACCTCCATGCAGCTAGGAGACCAGTGAGGCCACAGACAGAGACAACCTCCCCACACCATCCATGCCCATCCAGAGCTGCTCATGCAGAGACGGCGAGGGTGTGTTTTACCCCAGTCAAGTTACTCAGCCGGCCACACAGGGCCAGGTGGTAAGTGAGGAGAAGAGAAAGATCTGTCATGAATTTAACAATCCCATGATGGACCCTAAATGGTGAGTGGTGAGAGTTTGGAACCAAATTCCCATTTGGTATCTTTTCAAGGCTCTGGGGACATCAGGGCCCTGAGTCTCCAGAGTGACTTTGGAGACGGGATCTAAGTCGCCTCCCATTCATATATGAATACCCAAATCTCCACCACTATTGAAAACTTACATCAACTATTTCCCAGAGAAAGCCAGTCCCTGCCTCTACCCTTCACCTTGATTTCTCAGCCTTCATGGCCACACCAGATCTGCCTGGGTTGCTCTGATTTCTTGGTGTCTAGCCCATTTCTGGTCAGGGCAGATGCAGGGGACCTACCTGGGCCACACTCTGTTCAGTCAAGCCACTGTCATCTGCCTGCAGGAAAACAAAGTCCGAGGATGGAGTCGGGCCAGAGTTGGAAGAGTGAAGAAGGTCTTGGGGATGGAGTAAGGTGGTTTGTCAGCTGAGGTGATATGACTGAACTTTTGCATTTTTGCTTTAGACGCCAAACCCTTGGGGTGCATGAGTGTTTTGGTGTGAGGGGGAAATAAACAGAAGAGGAGAAACAAACAAAGCCCAAGGGTGATGACTCGTGTCTCTATTCCCTACCCTATAACCTCCAGGTCAAGATAATCATCTTGTGTTTGAGGATTTATTTCCCAGTGCCTATACTTCCCACTAGGGCCTGTGAATGATGGGAAGGACTAACTGAGAAGGTGCAGGTTCAGTCTACACAGAGACACCTCGGAAGAAAGGCCTGGAGACTCATTCTCAAAAAGTGAGTGACTCAAAAGTTGTGTGAAAGATATACTTTTTTATTTTCAAAGATACACTTCTTTAAAAAATGTTAGGGTCATGGATTGAATTGTGTCTTCTAAAAACACATGTCTATAGTGATGATGTGGGAGCTGTATGATTCCTTCATGCTCTGATAAACCAAATAGCAGTAAAACAGTTGTAAAAGGATTAAAGATGGAATACAACACTCCTTAATCTCCTCACAACCTTGTAAAGGGTATTTTCCTAGAATGTGGGCTTTAATAGTTTTCATCTCATAAGAGACAAAAGGGAAGGAAATCAAACTGAGAATAGGAACCTCAGTGCCACCAAGAAGGAAATGCCAGCAGTGGAATGCATCTGTTTGGACCTAGAACCCTGAGTTAGGAAACTCTTTGACACAAGGGAAAACCAAAACACATGGAGATTGTTAATAAGGTGTTTAGTGTTTCTGTTCTACCTCTTAAGTTTACTGCATGTGGCTGAGGTCTTAAAAACTTGGAAATGGCTATCCAAGATACAAGTGGTCTTTATTTGTCTAGAGCAACAGAAGAAAAGAATCAGTGGAGAAAATGGAACATGTGGCTAATTGCCTTCACGAACAACTTTCTCCCTTGCCATGAGACCAGAAGAACTGGATGACATCCAGGTAGTTACTGAACATCTGATCAAAGATTCAACATTGGATCCTGATTAAAAGGGGGGGCTATAAAATAGACTTTAAAATTGTCATGAACTCCAGGTTTTCTGGATCCATGGAGGTAAAATTAATCCCTGAAACTATTGCCGAGATAATCTTTAAGTCTATACAACAACACATACACCCTGGGGGGAGGGGTAGGCAGGGAGAAAGTGCAACAATGAATGAAGGGAAATCCAAAGTCTCTGTAAATTTTCATTAAAATTAACAATAATAAAAAAATTTTAAAAATATACCCTGAAGATTTCTAATTAAATAGTTCATCTTAAACAGTAAACAAATATGTCTTCAGTATAATATTCTTCTGAGAAATACTGTTAAGGAATCAAATTGACAGTAGCAATTAGAAAGATTAGATAGGAGCCTTACAAGGCAATGAGTTTACATGAACAGGAAAACAATTTCAAAATAGAGGGAGAGAATGATTGTATAATTTGAAGGAAGCAATTAATATCACCAAATTGGACCTGTCAAACCTGTTGAATTGGTAGGTTTTGCTGTGTGTATTTTCAACAGCAACAAAATTCTGCCACTGAAAACCTCATGAGGCTCAGTCCTTACACTTGAAACATGGCGTTATCATGTGTCAGAGCCAACTCTAAACAATATTTTATTATTATTATTATCATCATCATCATCAGTGCTCGTGCCTTTCGTTCATAGGGTCACTATGAGTCATCTACGACTTGACAGCACCTAACAATAATAACAACGACAACAACAGAGAGCTACATTGCTACATTGGAAAGAAAGTTATGCTAGCAAGCCAAAGGTGGGTGATTTTCATCTGCGGCCCTTGGCCAGATTCAAATTGTCTTCCTGTCTAACATTCTTCTAGGTGGTATAGCACTGGTCTGTGTGTTGCTGTACAGAGGTAACTCGTGGTTGCTGTGATGCTAAACACTGTGACAGGGATGTGCCAAACGTGGTAACGGGCACCCATGGTGGACAGGGTTGGCTGGAGCTTCCCGACTAAAACAAGCCTGGAAGCTGGAGCAGCATCCACTTCCAAAATGGCTTGCCTCCGGAAACTCTATGTATGAACAGTGCTCAGGCCTTTTGTTCATAGGGTCGCTATGAGTCGTCTATGACTCGACAGCACCTAACAACAACAACAATTATTATTCTTCTGCTGGTGCCTCCCAGTAGGGATGAACTCGATCTCAGAAGGAAAGGGAAACTAAACTATGCCACTTATCAATTGACTCCCCCAGCAGCTGCCTCCAGCAAATGCACCAGCCCAGTGTAGGTTCTTGAGAAGAGCTTGGGTACTGCCATCTTGGCCTCAATAACTCTCCCCACAGGAGGGACAGAGGGGGGGCGCAGCCCAGCATAGAGGTGATGGAAGCCAGTAGAGGGGCATGCACAAAGTCTCTCACCCGAAAATTCACTTTCTGGACCACTTGCTGGGGATCACTCTCCAGAATCACACTACAAGATGAGAAAAAAAAACAGGAGGAAAGTTGGCATGTTTCTCCCTGCCGAGCCTCTTTCCTCTCCTCAATATGTTCCCCCTAATGATCCCACTCCAGGTTCTTTCCCACTAATACTGCTAATTCAGAGTTCTGCTTTACCACAGGGGTTGGGTGGGAACACCAAAAAACCCCTCATTGCCATTAAGTCAGACAGACTCATAGCTGAGTCTCCAGCAGTTTTCTGAGGCTGTAACTCGCACGGGAGAAGATTGCCTATCTTTCTCCCTCTGAGTCCCTGGCGGGTCCAAACCATCAGAGAGGAGCAGCCTTAGAGTTCCCAGCACAGCTCCCTGTGGACTATGCTACCAGAGCTCCCTCCCAGCCCCTGGGAACCTCTAACTCCACTTTATGTCTCTGTAAACGTGTCAATTTTAGATATTTCATGGAGGTCAAATCATGTAATGTTTGTCCTTTTGGGTCTGGCTTTTCTCACACTTCCAAGTTTTCAAGGCTTGTCTATATTCAAGGTACCAGAACTTCAGTCTTTCGTATGGCTGAATAATAGAGTGTTCTATTGCATGTAACACAGTCAACCCAAGTGATGGCCACTTGGATTATTTCCAATGTTTGGTGAATGTGAATAATACTTTAGTGAACACTGGTGTACAACTATCTATTTAAGTCCTTGCTTTCAAATCTTTTGGGTTCGTAAGTAGGAGTGGACTTGTTGAATTGTTTTACACTGTGGAACCATTAAGCCAATTTCCCTTTTGATAGACCCAGAGATCATCGCTTTTCTCATCTAATAGACTTTTACGATGCATTGGGCATCAGGGAACTATTTGTAGGTGTGGGTTGCTGTTCATGGAGTATGAGCACATATCATTTGGGGGGGGGGATAGTGCTACCTCCATCAGAAACAACAAAAGCTGGGTTTTCCATTTTATTTTTGAGGGTAATAGCTTAGTTTTCTCTTTCTTTTGTACCAATTCAAGAGCTGTGAACAAACATTTCTTGAGAGCCTCTCCCAGGCTCCCTTGACACTCCCAGCCCAACGGTCCCTAACCTAAGGCTGTTTAATTAATAAATACAGAGGCACCAGCAAAAGCTCCAGTTAACATGCTGCTTCCTTCCTAATGCTTCTTCAGTTTGCATTGGTGGGAAACTGGCCTTTACCTCGAGGCAGACTCTTGAAGCTTGTAGAATCGACCTCTGGTAGCCTTCTTATAGGGTCATCTAAGACTGCACTTCATTTTGATTTGGTAGTGTTGTAAGGTTCTTTTCTCCTTAAAGGTTCCTACCAAATTGTGTCTGTTTCCAGTTCCTCAACACTTGATTTTACTTCACTCATTGGGTCCCAGGAATTAATGTAGATTTAGCACCAGAAGACAGTCAATTACTATAGAGGGAGGTTGTATTGTTGTTGTTAGGTGCCGTCGAGTTGTAGATGACTCATAGCGACCCTATAAACAGAAGGCCTGAGAACTGTTCATAGAGTTTCCAGAGGCAAGTCATTTCGGAAGTGGATGCCACACCTGCTTCCAAGCTTGTTTTAATCAGGAAACTCCACCAAACACTGTCCACCATGAGTACCCATTTGGCACATCAGTGTCACAATATTTAGCATCACTGCAAGCATGAGTTCCCTCTGTACAGCAATGCACAGACCAGTGCTATACCATTTAGAAGAATGTTTGACAGAAAAACAATTTGAACCAGGCCTGAGGGCTGCAGATGAAAGAGGGAGGAAGGGGGAGATTCTGCAAGACAGATTTCCCAAGGCCTTCCTCCCCCTAAATGGGTAGTGGGTAACAGGTACTAGAAAAAGCATTGTCCCTTGAACCATGTGCATGGTTTTAGATTTTGACTATCACCTCCCAATAAGTATGATCTTTACTGAACTACTTTAATCTCTGAGTTTCTGCTCCCTCCTCTAGAAAATGTATGTAATTACAGAGGCATGTAGATGTACTGACAGTGTGAAGTTTCTGTTATCTTTTGCCCTAGAGCCAGAACTTCTTTTTCTCCCTGAACATTGGTCTCTATGGAAATCTAATAGCTAATCTTTTCATAAGGACTCCTAGCTTCTTAAGACTATAAACATCCACTCCTCGCTTATCAATTAGCTTATTAGCCAACATTTCACATGTACAACAGTAAGAAATCTGCAGTCTTATTGTTTTGTGCATTAATCACATACATGTGGCAGTCACGTGCCAAAGTTCAAAGTAAGAGTGATTCTTTGATGATTAACTTGGTTAGACCATCATTCTGAGTGGTCTGGCAGGTACACAATGATGAAATCTGGAAGTTATATAGTCAGCCTCCATGTCATGATATGATGAGGCCAATTCTCACATAAAGACCTGGTCTTTGGAAAATTACTATGTTGACAAATGAAGAGTGGATGTAATAACACTAATAGGAAGCAAGCTTTGAGCTAGAACTATGAACTTCAAATGCAACATCTCATTTAATTCCCATAATCCTCTGAGAAATTCTATTAGGTCCATTTTAAAGATGGGGAAAGAAAGGTTCAGGGAGAGTAAGTGGCCACAGATGTAGGAGCTGAAGTCTAGGAGTGAAAGATATACGACTAGGAGAACTCTGATTGATAAAGGGCAAGGGTCTATTCTGTTTGCTTCTCCTGGGCACTGGAGATCAAACTGGACTTCTCCCAAACCCTGCATACTCAATGTCCTACCATGCTTTGTCATCTGACGTCTTTTTTGTTTGGCTTTGGCTAACACTGAAATCCATTCCCTTCCTGATGGTTAGGAAAAAGAAAAGCTTAAAGGGTAGAATGAGATAAGTGGAAATATGCTGGGAGAAGGATGAGAGAAGCTGGCCAAATACATGGTGTTATCTAAACTTGATAACCTTTCAAAGGTAACATTTCTCTTTAAGTGTCCCTGGCCACTTCTTCTTTTACCCCCAATTTCTTTCTTACCCGCCATCCACAATTTCATCCAGCACCAGAAAGGCTCCATCCATGTTCTCCAGCAACCAGCGCTTCTCCACATTCTTCCTGAAGATAGAGACAAGCTCTTGAGTTTCTCAAGAAGGTTCCTGGAGAAGTGAGGCAGACACTCCCTCCCCAAAGACTACTTTATCCTCCATCCATCCCTTGCCCCAACAAAGGACTGGGAAGGGACATGTAAAAAAATGGTGAGAACAGGAGCTGGGCAATGGTCTCCTGAGCAGGGTTCAAGTTGGCTTCCTTGAGCTTCAATTTGCCCATCCGGTCATACCCTGTGCCTGGCTCTGCACTGGATGACACCACGGTGGCCAGGTAAAGGGTAGGGACCTTGGAGGAGACTTTTCAGATTCCAGTCAGCCCTGCATGTGTGACCCATCAAGGTCTGGGGTGGTGGTGATTGAGGGTCTTGGAAGGCACAGAATCTTACTCACCTAAACATGTGGTTCAGAGACTCAAACAGGCAAGTGAGAACAGCCATGAGCATCAGCTAGGCATGGAGGTAGGGCAAAGAAAACAAGAGAGGTTGAGGTTGAGAAGAACCAAGAGAGACCCCAGCACCTGCCTGGGTGTCAGGAGTGGATAGTTGTCCCTATTTAGAGATGTTTGGACTGGCACTATGCAGGAGAGTGACTAAAGTGTGGCCTTAAGGGGAACCTTTCTTTTTGGGTTGGGAAATACAGATGTGTTCCACTAAAGATCATTGAATATATTCTCATGTTAAAAAACATATATCCAGAGGAGCTCTGGTGGCCTAGAGGCAAGAAGCTGCAGCAATCCCAGAGGAAAACGGTTCGAATCCACCAGACGCTCTGCCGGAGAAGGAGGCGCAATCTCCTCCTGTACCAGTCAGATCTGATTTGACGGTACACGCACACAAAATTTAAAAAAAAAAAAAATTGAAAAAAAACCATATATCCTAAAAATATATATATACATACATACACACACACACACACACACACACACACACACACACATACATACATAAACACATCTATATTCTCCTATGAGGACTGCTGATCTCATTTCCAATTTTCAGGGAATCTAAGGGTCATCATGGATACACATGATCCCAGACAGAACCACTCTGGTGCCCTCCGAGGAGCTTGTAAGGAAGGGTACCAAGGGTGACTCGTCCAGACCCCAGGCTCTACCCCAGACAATTTCCCATGGATAGACTCTCCCTGCCACCCCAGCCTCCTGAATTTACCTCATTCTCATAGGATGAGCCCACCACATACAGGAAGAGGTCAATGCTGCTCTTGTAGACGATCGTCATGCCCCCGAAAAATGCAATCTCACCTGGAAATGGAGGAAGATTTCAGTCCTGACCACCTCTACCTGGCTCCAGCCTGGCCTCTCCTTATCTCAAGCCTTTCTATTTCCTTCTGTGCTCTATCTGATTATTCAATGTGGCTCTTCTAACCATTGCCTTTGACTTTTGTCATGTGGCTGAGTAGGGATAAACATGCAAGGTATTTATAGCCCACTAAAGGGGTGGGTAGCTTGCTAATAATGCAATAGTAATTAACTAATTATATTTACCAAATGATAAATAACATCTTTTGGGTGGGAGCCTGTAAATAAGGTGTGCAGACCATTACTGAGGGGGATTGGTCAGTTTGTCATCCTGCCTAGAAATGAGAATCTCACTACCATCAAGAAAGAAGTAGATAGTACAATGTGTTCTTTGGGTCAAAGACTCTTGTGCTAGACATTGATATGAAGAACCAAATATGGCAGCCCAGGGGGCAACAGTGTTATCACCAGCAGTAATGCCAGCAGCAAAGGTGGCAGAGAACCAGAGACTGGTACGAGAAAGAGTGGAGACAGATCAGCCATCCCACAGAGTCAGAGCTGACAACTTTGGCCTAGGCTTACTGGTAGAGTGGGAATTGTGGGGGAAGACACATAAAATAGCAGAACTAAAAGAATTTTGTAACACTTGCCTGAGTTCAGGACAAGAGCTGCAAGGCCATGCATGGTTGCCTGTGGTGGGATCCAGGATCCACAACATGGCTACCTCTTTGGCTGAGAAAAAGGTCAAGGAGTGGTCTGGGGAGGAAGTTTGGTGAGGGGTGGAATGGAATGTGATAGAAAGCACAAGTTCTTAGAGGGCTTGAATAACAGCCTGGAAGAAGAGAAGAGCCTCTGAAGACAAGGAAATAGCCTGTGGGTGTATAAGGCCAGTGGGGACAGATGTGTCCAGATGGAGAAGATGACGGTGAACAACTGAGAATTCTGGTGGAAGAAAAGGCGGACACTTACTGTCAGTCCGGCTGGTCTTATTGAAGACATTTTTCTCGAAGACCATCTGTTCCTTTGTGGAAGGGAATGTATCATCATAATACTACAAGAAGGGGAAGGAGAAAAGTTGATAGCTATAAAGCTTAGTTCCTCCTCTGGTGGAAAGGGTGCTGCCCCATGGGGGACCCTGCTGCGATGTCCTGTTTCCCCTTTATTGTCTTCTAGGCCTGCCTGCTCACTCAGCCAAACACATTGCCGGTGAGGGAATTCCAACTCAGAGTGAACCTTACAGGACAGAGTAGAACTGCCCCATAGAGTTTCCAAGGGTGTAAATCTTTATACAGATGCAGACTGTAACATCTTCTTCTCCTAAAGGGGATGGTGGTTTATTTCTACACACACACAAATAAATCCTAAGCAAAGAATGTCATGAAAAAGGGAAGGGTTCTGAGATCTGATTTTGGAGTCCTCTTTTGGTTTCTTGGTGGCTATTTTTTTCTGAGGCAGATGTGCAGTTTGTTTAGGGCCAGGGTGGTTACCAGGCCATTATTTCTGTAGTGACTTGAGCCTACAGGAAGGATAGAAGCACTGAGTCCTACCAATTGCCAGGAGCTACCAATTACAGAAAATGTGTATGGATGCTGGAACTGGTGTAAGGAAGACAGAAGCTTCGCTCATATTGCACAGCCTATACCGAGCAGAGGTGAGATTCAATACCAAGGACATTCTGCCTCCAGATAGAATTATGGTGAAGATGAAATATTTAATGGAAAATTCCCGTTCAATCTTGCTTTGAGTTTGGGGGAAAGCTCTCCCTGACTTAGCTTCTCCTTCTTTGACATAGATGAGTCCTATAGGGAGGAGGCCTTACCACTGATCCACCTCAGGCCATCTGCTGGGACAAGGTAAGATTATTTCTCAATTTTAGCACCCAATCTGCAGGTAAATTTGCCATCTCCCTGCTGGTCCCTGCTCTGAGGGAACAAGCTCTTTTGAATGTCATGAGGACAAAAAAAAAAAAAAAGAAAGAAAAAGAAAAAAGAAAGAAAGAATAAAAACAAAACAAAAAGAATTTGGAAGGTGCCTGCATCTTCAGTCCCAAACAAACAAAAGAACAAAAATCTACAGTGAGTTTCATAATTTGAGATGTTAAGAGTCCTGCTGATAGTTAATTTTGTCAGGTGTGCAATTTTCTTTTTAGATTATCATAGTCTAACTAATCCAGGCTAGGTTCACTTAGGATGGACATCAGATAATAGATGGGGTTCATCTGTTGAAAATATCATAGGAAAATTACCTGGAGCTCCAAGTCAAAATGCCTGACCTCAAATCTCTAGATATTAACTCCTCAAGGGCTCAGGCCTATCATTTAGCTTGTTCAGGTCTCATTTTCTCAGTCTGTGAAATTAGGGTGTTGGATTAGAAGGTCTCTAAAATCTACCTCTACGTTCTTGGACTGCATTAGCTGTATTTACCAAGCTGCAGGAGAAAAGTGGGGTTCTTTGTTAAGAGCTTGGGGACTGGGACTTCTGTGTCCCAAGCTCAACACTCCACTAGTCTGTTAAGAAGTTCAGTTTTCCTGGCCAGGGTATAAACTGACCAGTGGGAGGAATGACACCACCACCACCACTAACAACCAAAAACCCCCCAACAAAACCAAACAATAACACTTCAAGGAACATGAATGGAGACAGAGAAGATCTTTCCTTCCACTTCAGGGACCAGGAGCTTGAAAAGGCAGAGGAATAGCCACAACGACTCCAGATTGAACTGCCTGGAATCAGAGACCCCTGGGCAGAAGGAGTCAGTCGGTTGGGGACTTCCTGGGGCTGCACCATCTTTGGTCCTCTAGTGTCCGCCATGCCTTGGGGAGGGTTACCTTGGCCAGCAGTCGGCGCCCATCATTATCCAGGATGAAAACAGCCTTAATGATGTAGAGGGAAGGTTCCTGTAACTGACACAGAGGAGGTGAGCTCTTGTGGCTCCTGTGGGTAACACCTGCCATTGTCTTTCTGGGATCTGCTGCCCTAGGGATAAACCCTCAGACTTCGGGTGACCCCAGCCCCAAAAGTCCACAGCTAGGTCAGGTCCAGCCCGCTGCCACCTGGGCCAACTCTAGTGCCTTCTCTACTTCCATGCAGATGTTCGCTGAAGGCCCCGCGTGGACATTGGGTGCAGAAGATCCTTCCGGCCCAAGTTCTGTCATGCACTGACTGCTCCAGAGCCCGAGTCAGAGTGTATCACAGAACCTGGCCCGGGGGAACAGTGGTGTGGAGCCTCTTCCTTCCAGCTGACCCCCACGCTCTCAGCGTGCCTCCAGCCCCCTGGCCAGAGTGAGCTCCAGAAGTGCTCACGACAATCCACGAACAAGCCCTGCTCACCCTCCCAGCAGAATCTCAGCCCACCCCCACCTTCGCTCCCTGTGGCTGCTCCAAATCCACTCAGAACTTCAGCCAACTCAGGACAAGCCTCCTCTGAGTCCGCACCGGGAGGAACTTTCTGGCCCCTGCCCTGAGCCGGAGAGCCCGGTCTCGGGGCTGGTCTGAGTTGGCACAAAGTTCCCAGACGCCGGCGCGAGAGTTGTGAGTTGGCTGCTCCCCCAGCCCCGCGCCCCCTCCGCCGCCAGCGGACCCCGGGCGCCCTCCCGC